GGGTAAGAGAATTCACCAGAGCCAGAGCGGGGAGCAGAGCAGGCAGAAGGACTGAAGTACACTGCTGAGAGGAGCAGCAGGCGGCAGGAGAGGTCTGTGCGCCATGCGGGACCCTCCTCCGGTGGCTGGCCGGGGAGCAGCCGGGGATTGAACCGGCGCTGCAGATGCTGCGGGCAGCTTCGCAACCCAGCGCTCAACCGCTGCGCCACTGGGGAGGCCCAGGCCCTGTGATTTTCTGGGCCATTCTCAAGTAATAAAATGACCTCTGCTTATTTTTCATCTAAAATACAATCTTACATCACTCATATATCTGGTACATGGATGGTTTCACTTATATATGGAATAAGAGAAACCAAACAAAGGAGGAGACAAAGACAAACTTTAAAATCAACACTTGAAAGTTGATTATAGAAATGAGGCACCCAGGAGGGGAGGAGGAAGGGAGTGAGAGGGCGAGGAGTGAATGCAGGGAGGGGGAAGCACAACAGACTATGGAGAGGACAATGGGTGCTTTGGTGGTGGGGGAGCTATGGTAACCACACCTGAGGGGAGAAATCCTATCTTGTAAAAAACAAACACAAGATGTAAAATAATGGTACACTCAGTGCGGTAATAAGTACTCCATACTTCACTGGCAACTGAAGTAATGGTTGGCTGGCTCAGTATTTCTTCCAGTCTACAGCTTCCTCCCTCTTCCTTCACTCACTAGCTTGCCCAACTCCCCCAGGACTAAAGTGGAAGGCCTGGCTGGCTCCAGCTGCATGGCTTCCTCAGCATTGCTGATGTTTCTTTTTGACACTTTCTCTCGTGGCCACTTTTTGGGTCTATCAAATTTACCCTCGCCACCACTCACCTGGGGACCCTCTCACCACCCATTTCCTTACCACAGACAAGTGCATTTTGCCTCTGCAAGTTTTTCTGATTCTTCCCTCAGACCTGCTGGCTTCTTTCTGTGGAACCCTTTTTACTTTACCAAGTAGTCCTGGGGAGGATCAAAGTCCATCCCACACTGTCTCATTCTCTTAGACTTGTCTTCCGTAGGAGTAAATTACTTCCCCAATCATATCCCTGCCCTGAGTTCAGGCCACTTTGCCAACTCTGCCATGCTTGAGTTAGACAGCAGTTCATGGTGTTCCCCAGACTGCAGGGGACACATCCAGGGGCACTGCAAGACAGATCTGCCTAAAGTCCTTTCACCAAACTTAAGGTGAGAGAAAAGGCCCCTTTACTGTCCCCTGGGGGAGGGGGCCTTGGAGGGGCCTCAGAAAACTTAAAGCTCCCTCTACAGAAACTCTTCTGTAATCTTCAGCAGCCTAGTCAGCCTCTACTTCAGCCCTCTTATACCTTCAAGGTAAGTGAGATGTTAAGGAAACATTCCTTTGCGAATCCTACATGGGGTCCTGCAACTTATTCACAATGTGAGAGGAGTTAACAATTATTATCTGGGGTCTCTACCAAAATGGAAACAAAATAATAGCTCACAATGAGCATCATTCTCTTCCCAGTGATGCCGGAATTGTCAGGCCTAGTCTCCCAGCCAGGAACGGATCCCAGGCTGCAGGGCAGCGCTGAGCCCCAGCCGCTAGACCCCCCACGGGTTGGTGTCTCAAGAAGCCGCAGCAGGAACTTCGCAGACGCTCAGGCAAGCAAGGGAGAAGAGGCAGGACAGGTTTGTTTAGAAAAAGTTTATTGAGAAGAAAAAGAGCAGAAATAAAGTGGGACTCCCAGGCCAGGGAACCAGGCCTGGGAGGGGCAAGGAAGCCAAAGTGAAGTCGTGTCTCAGGGAATATATACTTTCTTTCCCTGGTTATTCTAAAGCTCTACCAGTCTCTTTGTGATTAGTCAGTTCTCGGCTGTCTCACTTAATTTGCTACTGAGTGGGGGATCTTCACATTCCTTATCTAACAGGTCTGTCTTTCCCCATTTGTTATATCTTTATCTTTATGGTCTAGCCCTCCCGGTGAGCATCTTTACACTTTATCTTATCATCTGAAGAAAACAGGGATCATCCTTAACAAGATTATCTGTGGTGCTGGGATGTTTGTTTTTCCCAGTGGAATTGGTTTCATTTCCTTGCTCGTCCTTATCTCTGAAGCCTTCCTGAATTCTTCAAAGGTCCCCTCCTGCACTGTCCTAAAACTGCCTAATAACCCTAGCTTGCCCTGTCTCACCAGGTACCCTTATAAGGTTTTCTTTAATTGGTAGAAACTGGTGAAGATCAAATGTCATTCCAATGGACTTGGTATGATTTGTTGTTTATCAAAGATAACTCGAATTTTCAGTGTTTGGATAAGGGTTAACAATTACTTTGTTATACAGAGATTTTTCATGAAGATGGATTCCCTGGATCCTGAGAATGTTATTATTAGTTGTATGCCTCAAGTCTGTTTTTCTTTTTCTTTTTCTTTTTTTTTTTTAGATTTTTATTTATATATGCATACAAGAGCTGGGGTGTAGGACAGAGGTACGGGAGAAGATTCACCAGAGACAGAGTGGGGAGCAGAATAGGAAGATGTACTGAAATACCCTGCTGAGGGGGGCAGCAGTTGGGACAGGAGGGGTCTGCTGCACCATGTGGGTTAGCTCCCTGGCCAGGCCAGGGATTATACTGGTGCTGCAGTGGCTGGGGATAGCTTCACAGTGCTGAGACTTAGTCACCAGGGAGGCCCCTCAAGTCTGTTTTTCTAACTGAAGAAGGGAAGGGACTTGGTGATCTGATGAGCAGTCTGGTGTTAAATGCTGGTGTTTCATTGTCTCATGGCGTGATTTACTAGTGTCCATCGTACCCCACAGAGTTTGTGCTTGGCATCTATCTTTAGGCTTTAAACCCAGTTTGTTCTGCACGTAGCCCTTTCCTCAAAGGAAAGGGCTGAAGCATTTTGGAAGCATTTTGGAACACCGTCAACAGATCATTTAAGAAAACAGGATGATTCTTTATATACATTTCTTTGAAGGATAACCCAGCTATGAAATTCTGATTCTTACACCCAACATGATTTAAAAGATGTAAGGTCCTACTGAATACATGGTGGGCATATTTTAATGAGTGGAATACCAAGACCAATAAAAGAAAGATAAAAACATGGATAACTTAAGTTTTGCTTGTTTTCCATTCTCTTCAAGCTTCAGTAGAATTCTCAAAACATTAACAGAATTGCTTATAGCAACTAACCTCCTTCATGCCAGCATTTCGACATAATATTTCAGCTGTCAATATCACTGTCAGGAATGTAATTTGTATCACTCTTTGGGTTTATTTGGATGGACATTTTGGAGATGAAGGTGGCAATGATTTAGTGCTGCTGACAAATGGCACTGAGCCTGCTATCCTTACAAACGCAAGTTGGTTTCTTAAGTAAAAGTGGACCTGGCTTTAAGTGAAAATGAAAATGTTCAAATAAATTAAACACAGTGTGAGAATTCTCAAGGGTCCTTCCATAGAGAATACGTAAGGACATTTTATATATCGGGGATCCTATTACCAAGAAAGGCAGTGACTTAATCACCTGTGTGTCTTTGTAAAAACACCCATGTGTTGACCCTAACTCTCCCCTGAATCTTACCTTAGGTTCTGACTTAGGGAGTCTAAGGTAGACCCAGGTATTCTTATTTTTTTAAAGGCCCCACTAGTGATTCTTATGTATGCAAGACTTAGAGAAACCACTAACTGGATGGATTCAGAAGTTTTAAAAGAAGGGATTGAAAGGTCTTAACTAAAGGACTCTTTCAGTCATCCAGGAGTCCTATGAATACCAGAGAGGAGATGGGAGGTGGTCACCTCAGAGCTGGGATCCTTCATGGAAGGGCATCAAGGAATTCTTCACTTGGAGGGAGTCACGGATTACTGTGAAAGTCTGCTGAAAGCTATAGCTACTCTCCTCAGAAAAATTTGCACACTAACTCCCACAAAATTTAGCAGCTGCTCTCCCAGATTCTACATTAGAATTAAGGTTTTTCTGTTTGTGTTTGTGTTTGTTGTTTTTGCTACTGAACTGAATGTAGAGCAGTTCCCATACATCAAAGTACGGAAAACAAGAGAGACCAGTTTCCCACCTCAAAAAGCTCACAGTCTAGGGCCTCCCCGGTGGCGCAGCGGTTGAGCGCTGGGTTGCAAAGCTGCCCGCAGCCTCTGCAGCGCCGGTTCGATCCCCGGCTGCTCCCCGGCCACCGGAGGAGGGTCCCACATGGCGCGCAGACCTCTCCTGCCGCCCGCTGCTCCCCTCAGCAGTGTACTTCGGTCCTTCTGCCTGCTCTGCTCCCCGCTCTGGCTCTGGTGAATTCTCTCACCCTCCCACGCTTCTGACTCTACCCAATGCTTGTATAAATAAATAAAAAATAATAATAAATCTTAAAAAAAAAAAAAAAAGCTCACAGTCTAGTAGTAGCCAAGAGATAACAGTTACCAAAAAATCCATGCACACATACTCAGGCAATTGCCACAAGCGTTGTAAAGGGAGGGAGTTCTCAAATGCTGAATGGAGAATTGGAAACGTGTGCTTTGAGAGGCAACAGATAAAGGAGGCAGGTGTGGTACCTCGGCCCACAATCTTTCCCCTGCCGCCACCCCCAAAAGAATGGAGGTCAGTGTGGCTAAAGGAGACTGGGGAAGGCCGGGAAGGCTATGTTTGGCATAGTCGGTAATGGTGAGCATGTGATAAAAATGGCATCTCTCCACGCCGCTGCTAGCGGTCCGGGCTGGGAAGGCTAAATGCCCGTGAATACTGTTTTACAACAAACTCAGAGACCCCGGAAAGAAAAGAGCAAGCTGACTCTGGGAGGGCAGCCTTGGAGCCCACTGTTCATTGCCAGGGTCACAAGTTGGCCCTGTGTTTGCTCTGTACGATGAAAGAAAACCGCGGGAGAGCGCTGAGTGGCCGAGAACTACGTCCAGCCCGTGGGCATGAAAATGAATTTAACTGCTATGTGCAACCCCCCTAGGTGTGTGGACAGAAGGGAGCCAGTCAGAAGGTTACAACAGGTCAGGAATAAATAACCACCAGGCGGAGAATCCCAGATTCCGTCCTTCCTTTTGTTGGGTGAGGAGCGCCAGACCAACGCGTCCACAAAGGCTTTGCAAAGAAGCTGTCAGGCTGTCCACGCTCGGCTCCAGCCTCTGGTAACTATCAGGGGCCCGGCGGGGTGGTGGGAAGTCTGAGGCCTGGAGGGGATGAGCCCCCGCGTCGACCCCCGCGAGGCCTCGCCGCGGGGACCCCAGAATTGGTCGGGGGCGGGCTGCGGCGCGGCGGGAGGGAGCCGGCTGGGCGGGCGAGCAGATCCCACCCCTTCCTGAAGGAAGCGCCCTCCTCGCCGGCTCTGCTGCCTCCGCCGCAGGTCACGGCCCCGCGAGGCGACGCGGCCCCGCCGCACCGGAGCAGGTAGGCGCGGCGCCCGCAGCGCCCCCTCTTCCGTCCGGGCCTGCTACGCAGCCAGGGGGCGTCCGGCCAGCTCCGCGCCCATCCCGCAGGGGAAGGCTGGGGATGGCGGGCGCCGCATTGGGGCTCGGGCGGCGGGGTCCTCCGGGCGGCGGGGCTCCGGCCCCCTCCCTAGAGCGCCCGGGTGCGGGGCTGCCAGGCCGAGTCTCCGGAGCGCACGCCCCGAGCGCGGCGCGGCTGCCCCGCGGCTCCCGGGAGCCCCTGCCGGCTCTCCCCGCGCCCGGAGCGCGGCGCCGGCACACCTCGGTCCTCGCCGCCGCAGTGCTGTGCGGAGCCCCTGCGCCGCCCGCCGGCCGCGGCTCGGGTCCCGCGCTTTGACAGGTGTCCCCACCCTCCGCCCCAGCCGAATGCCCCGGGCGCTTTGTGGGGAGGTGGTCTCGGGTGCGGAGCCACCCCAAGTTTGGCCTCCGGGTCTTTCTGCTATTTGCGGTTCACTTTGGCGTTCACCAAGTGAGGCTGGCCCGGAGGCAGGGGATCGGGGAAGCAGGCACTAACTTCCTCTGCCCGGTGCACCGCCCTCCACTCTAAATGCACAATTTTGCTTTCCTTTTCGGGATGCACACCTGGGAAGATATGGGATTTTCGTGAGATGGCAGTGGGTGGATTACTAAGGCTGTTTTGTCATCCATTACAAAAAAAAAAAAAGTGCTTCGCTTTGGGTATGGAGGGAGCCCTTGTATAGTGGTTTTCTCCTCCTTAAATGAATCAAATTGAAAATGAGAGGGTTTTCCCCATTTAAAATTCATGTTCCTTTTCTCTCTGTTCTTCCTTCTCCTTCCACCCGAATCTGCACAGCACTGATTACATTACAAACACTCCACTGATTTTTTTGGTCAGGTTTTTTCTGGTCAGACCGTTTTTTTTTCCACTGCTGAGCCAGGACCTGTGACTAGGAGCATGAGAACATGGCCCAGTTGGGCCAGAAGCTCCTCTCCTTGAGTGAAGCAGTTCCAACTTTCTCCATGTGAAGACCTGCTAGGGAACCAAGTATACCAATGATTTTTTTTAAAGTTTTTATATCTACTATAACAATGCTTAAACAGTAACATGAGTTTCTGCTTCTTCATTTCCTTAGTTGAATCAAAGGCAGGTTTTTAATAAAATGGGACTGAACTCCATTCTGGGCTGCAGTTCATGCAAAGGATAGATGGTATAGATGTATAAACTCCATGGTAGCAGTTAATAACTTAAAGTTTTCAAGGAAAAATTGTTAGGCTCACATATGTGATACTTGCAAATCAAAGAATTTTACAGTCTCAGTTCTCATGCATTAAATCCAAACTTTTTCTTCTCTGTGTTCTAGAGACACCATGTTTCCAGAATTAACTATAGCTGTCATCTTTTAATATTCTAGAAATATGAATTTAATCTTCAAGGTATAAGCATAGGAATTTTAATGTTGTGTGTGTCCTTTATACATTATTTAATAAATGTTTTTGCAAGCTCCCCAGACTGACAGCACAAAAACTGAACATAGTAAATAAAAGGATAAAGAAGTTTTGCTAGCAATAGTGACTAGTTGATAGATGCTATGACACTGAGCAAATATATTAAAGTATTTGGAAAATGCATGATTTTTTATAATGTGCTGTTAGTTGAAGGTACTCTGGATTATTTAAATAACATTAAAGTATCTTTATAGCAGTTGCTTAATTCATGTGTTACTCATCAAATGCCTTTCATGCTTGCTTTGGGGGAGAGATAGTTTGCACTGCGGAATAATTTTTTTTTTGCAATAATGCCTTATGTTTAGAACTTGTTATAGAAATATTGCAGTCGTGCTCTGACAACCTTGTAGGGATTTTTCTCATTTTACCTGCTTTGTGATCATCATAATCACCCCTGGCACCCCTTGTCTGTATTCTTGCTCTGTTTGCTCTATGACCCAGGCACACCTCTGCAGTACAGTGGCCAGATTAGCTGGGCAGTTTGGAGTCGGGAAAGTGGAAAAGCTAGCTGGCCCCTACAATCTAGCCATTTGGTTTCACTATAATCTGGCCACTAGGGATCAGTTCAGTACCCAATTAAGCAAGACAGACATTGACAAGATAATGTATTACCTCTCAGTCTTTCCTTTCACCAGAAGAATCTGCAGCACTCAGAATCCACACTGCAGTGGTGATTAGGTTGTGTAAGCCTCAAATGAGATATTTCCTAAAGTTCTCCAAGATTCATAGTTATCGAATCCGAGTCTGAGTTCATTTATTATACCCAGGTGTGTAATAAATACTTTCCTTATCCTAAGTATAAGTGCATCCCTATTTATCGTCACCATAAACTTTAATTTCTGGAGCTGTAGTGCCATGTAGCTATGTATTTTTCATTAATTGTGCTAAGCACTTTCTATCTAGCTCATAAAATAGTGGAACTTTAACAATTCACGAAATACCATGGCGTGTTTGGACTTAATTCCCTGGCATGTTTGGACTTAAAAGAGATCTTATGGCAATGAAAAATCTTAATGCTACGAGATTTTAGACAAGCTAATTGGAATGATATTTTGAGATAATAATGGAATCTTTGTCACTAGCCTTCAAATTCAACCCCATAGTACTTTAAGTCAAATCAGCTCTTTAGGTAGAGTGTGGAACTCTTAACCAAGTGAGAAAAGAATCATCTTCTTGTTAGCATCTCTAAATTACCTTTCTCTCGATCAATGCTATTCAATAAAACTTTCTGTCATGATAAAAGTGTACTATAATATGCCCCATGTGGTAGCCATGAGCCACTTGTGGCGACAGAGCACTCGAAATGTGTCTAGTGCAATTGAGGAACTAAAACATAAATTTTAGTTAATTTTCATTAATATAAATAGCCACAAAGGGCTAGTGGCTACCATACTAGACAGTGCATCTTTGATTCTCTTCACCCATTTCTTGCAGCAATAACACTTGCTGGCAATTGCTCTTTAATTAGAAGAAAGTAAAATTGGCATTGATTGAACCAAGAATTTAGATTTGACTCTGTAATACTGTTCTGAAAAAACACTTGCATTTACTCTGAAGAATGTGTTTTATGCTGAAGTTCAACTCTAAAAATAAAAGTTTCCCTTTTAGGGCCTCCCCGGTGGCGCAGCGGTTGAGCGCTGGGTTGCGAAGCTGCCCGCAGCCTCTGCAGCGCCGGTTCGATCCCCGGCTGCTCCCCGGCCACCTGAGGAGGGTCCCACATGGTGTGCAGACCTCTCTTGCCGCCCACTGCTCCCCTCAGCAGTGTACTTGGTCCCTCTGCCTGCTCTGCTCCCCGCTCTGGCTCTGGTGAATTCTCTCACCCTCCCGCGCTTCTGACTGTACCCAGTGCTTGTATAAATAAATAAATAAAATTAAATCTTAAAAAAAAATAAAATAAAATAAAAAGTTTCCCTTTTAAAATTCTTTCTGTCTGTTACCCATAACTGTAAGCACCACCCAGAGTTGTTTATTTTTTTTAGAATTTTTTTAGTATTTTATTTATTTATTTATTTATTTGTTTGTTTGTTTCTCCCTGGCCAGCTGGGGATTGAACTCGTGCTGCAAAGGCTGCGGACTGCTTCATAGTGCGGTCCTTAACCCCTTGTGCCATCAGGGAGGCCCCCAGAATTGTTTTAAACAGAGTATTTTTCAAATCACACATTCTAGGTTGGTTTGACCTCTCCTGACTCGCCCGCTGCTCCCCTCAGCAGTCTGTTCTGTTCCCCACTCTGTCTCTGGTGAATCCTCTCGCCCCCCACACTTCTGGCTTGTACCCCAGTTCTTGTATGCATAAATAAATCTTTAAAAAAAAAAAAAAAGAACACTACAGTAACAGGCCCCCTGGTGGGCTCAGATCCTGACTCTGCACCTCCCAGTCCATACATAGCTTAGAAACAAGACAAAAGGCCCCAAGTGGAGTCACTTATGTTAAGCCCCAAGTTACCAACTGACAATTAACAACTCTTCTAGAAACAGAATCTTAAACCAATCTCCTGACCAGCACTAATTAGATAATCTGCCTGATAGGCCCTACCATCCCCTAAAGGGAAGTGCCCTGCACCTAGCAACCGGCTTTTTGCCTAGTCTAACTTCTTCCCACTCTGTTCCCTTCTGCATTTAAGTCTTTCATTTTGCACAAATCCTAAGAGTTCCTTTGTCTGCTAGATTGGATGGTGCTGTATTCATGAATAGCTGAATAAAACCTATAAGGTCTTTAAAATGGACTCAGTTGAATTTATTTTTTTAAAGATTTGTTTATGCATACAAGGAATGGGGTACAGGCCAGAGGTGCAGGGGGTGAAAGGATTCACCAGAGACAGAGTGGGGAACAGAACAGGCAGACTGACTGAAATACACTGCTGAGGGGACCAGCGGGCAAGACAGGAGAGGTCTGCTGTGCCCTGTGGGCAGCTCCTTGGCCGGCCAGGGGTTGAACTTGTGCTGTAAAGGCTCTGGATAGCTTCATAGTACTGTGTTTAACCCCTAGTGCCACCAGGGAGACCCTGAATTTATTTTTAACAATAGAACGCACTATATAAGCATAGTCACTTTTTGTATTATTATTATATAAATACAATATGAATGTATGAATGCATGAAACTAGGGTTGGGGTCACACTTTGGGAAATGCTGATCTAATACATAAGTAGCAGATAATAAAACTAGGTAGCATTATTGAGTGCTTACCAAGGGCTCCATGCTAAATCCTACATGCAATATCTTGTTAGTTTCTCTCAA